TATCCAGTAAATATTTTTAAAAAATGATTTTTTTAAATAGCTAGAAAAAGCTAATAGCATCTATTAATTTTTTGTGAAATTTTATTTATGTTAAATAACAAACTTTGGAAACAAAGTCATTCATAATAGGGATAATTTTATGATAATTTACGTTTTGGACAAAATATTTTATAGTAAAAATCCTAAAACAGTTCCAAACGTATGCTGTAAAACATTGTTTCCCAAAGACTGGGTCGCGACCCTCAGGTGGGTCGCAAGAGATTTTTTTGCGGTGATCTCAAATCATGTTTCCCAGGAGTTTACGAATAATGTCTATTGACTTGGATCGTGAAGGTTTGTGACTTTTAAAATATGGGTGCCCTGAATAAAACTTTGGGAAACACTGCTGTAAAGGTATCATCTGGTTTGAGCTTTAGTGTCTGGTCTAGGTGAAAATAACTTCAAAGATTCCATAAAGAAGCTTTGACATTTAAATGAACAGAATTTTGATTTTTAATTTCAAATGTCAACATGAATTTACTGTTGATTTTGTTCCTTTTGTGAATATAAATGACTTCATTGAACTGTAAGCTTTGTTTTCACCCGATGCTTCTCAGGAGGAGCAGCAGCCAACACACTGGAAGAAATTATGGAGCAGGAGGAGGCGGCGGCGGCGGCGGCGGCTCATTCTGTAACGTCTACTTCGGCCAACGGCGGCCAAGGAGACGACAGCAGCATTAGCACTTCAGCTGACACTGTCACTGCATCACTGCATTCCCCGTCCCCAGACACTGACATACTGAGCACGGTGTCAGCAGAGGCTGGTGAGGACGATCTGTCCTCCGATGGCAAGTCCGAACTCAAGTAAGACTCCTCAAGTCTCATCATTGTTTTTTTTTTTGTTTATTAGCATTAGCATGGCTTTTGTTTACATTTGCGTTTTTATCCTACAGTCAAATGACAAGTCGCACGATTGACTCTGAAACTGTCGGCACAACATCACCTGACATGGAGGAGAGAAGTGAGTTTGCTCTGGGATGAAACTTGTTTACATTTCCATTGTGTTGACGTGTCACGCACACGTTCCCATGAGAATGTGGGTGTGGTTTAACCTCAGTGTTCTACACGTTGTTTTCTTCTGTCAACACAGCTGTCGCTTTATGAATAAATGTTTGTTTTCTCTCTTTAGGCGCCCCTTCGTGTCAAGTTAATAGTCTAAGCCAACAGCCAATCAGTGAAGGGCCTGCGAGTGAGAGTGTTGAAGTTGGCCGCGCTGCTGAGGCCGATGGAGTTCAAGACACAGAATCACTGGCTGCTGTTCAGGAAAACACTGAAACCCCCGAGGGGCAGACTAGCGGGCTGGAGAACCGAGTCACTGTCAACACGTCGCACCCTGGTGGAGAGGATGCTGAAGTGCAAACAGATTTCACGCCTCTTCCTGTGCCTGCGCAACAACAAACAGACCCAGTTCCCTCAGGAACTAACGTGCCTTCCCCTGAATCTCCAGGAAAGAAAGATATGTCCACGCTGACGGAGGAGTGGAGCCTGCCTGACCTCGACAAATCCACTTCCTCCGACCTTTCCGAGACTTCCTCAGGTCCAGACTCAACAGCTGGTGCCGCTGCTACAACGAAGGCACCTTCTGTTTATGCCACGGACGCTGAGCCAAAGCCGAAGCCATCCAACGAATTGACCAGAGACTACATCCCCAAGGTCGGGATGACGACGTACACTATCGTGCCTCCGAAGTCGCTGGAGAAACTGAGATATTTTGAAGTCGCTCTGACACTGGAGTCTCCCCCTGCAGCCTCGGAGGATGATAGCACCCGTCAGACTAATGAGAAGGTGAAACTAAACCAAGAGACGGAGACGTCGAAGGAAAACAAGGAGCTGCAGTCTACTGTATCCAGGGAAGACGTTCCGACTGGGATCGCCACGACACAGTCTACCGTCAATGGGAGTTTACCTCCTCCATCCTCATTGGTTCCCAGTCCATCTACAGAATCTGACAAAACGCTAAGTTTAACGAATGCTGCATCACAAACAGATCAACCTGTGGAGGCCAAGGAGAATAAAAAACCCCCTGCCACTAAACCCAAGCCCGGATCTTTCCGCCTGTCGCTGCACAAAAAAACACCTGGCTATTATGTAACTTCAGCAGCAGAGAAGAGTTTAAACACCAGTCCTGTCTCCGGCCACGCAGACGTTCCTGGAGGGGCAGAAAGAACAGTGTTTCCATCTCCTCCACTCTCACCTTCAGTGCAGCGTCAAGAAGAAACAACAGGGACCGCCAGAGTCCGCCTCAGTCCCGCAGGCGGAGTTCAGAACGTAGCTGCGTCGACATTCGTCAGGCAAAGCAGTTTGCCGTGTAAGGAGTCACGTGTCGGGTTAAGTCTGGAGAAATTGAGGTGCTTCGCATCCCCGAGGCCGTACTCCCCTTCGACTCCATCGCGCTTCGCCCAGGCCGTCTCATCGGCTGTGAAACGGAGCCAGCCGTTATCCTACGGTCAGAAATCACCGAGCTCACCCACGTTTTCTCCGACTCGTCCAAACGTCCTACAGTCCAAGGACTCGTCCATGCCCAGGGTGAGTTGTGCATAAACAGCCAATGAAAAAAACAAAACAACTCGGCTTCTACTGATCTTGACAAGATAATGATATTGACGGCTATAGTTTTTTTTTTTTTTTACCAAAGAACAGACTAGAGGATGAGTGGCAGCTCACCTGTAGATATCTCTAGATGATGTTCTTTTTTTTAGCCATTAGTATTTTGGTTTATTTTTCAGCTTATCATAAGAAAATGTCGAGAAAACTCAAAGAAGTTTCTTAACCCAAACTTGCCATCATTTTTTAACTGCATAATTTCTCCGGTCAGAGCAAAGAGTTGTCAACGTATTTTTCACATCAGGAAATGATTCACATATTCCTTAAATTCTTCAGTCATGATTTAATCCACGGAGGCTGAAGTTGTTTCTGCAGCTGAGGCACCGCTGACAGAAACCCTGCGTTCACCCCGGGGCCCTTATATAATATATAATTTATTATAATTTATTATTATTACTTCACTGGCTCTTAAATTACACACAGCCTTTGATTTCGTGTCATTTTTTCCTTTTATGTTACAGGACGATGGAAGTGGTGAGGAAGAGAACAACAAAAGCTTCATTTTGAAGCAGGCGGAGGTTGAACCACCAACTTTCCCTGAGCTCGTTAAGTTAGAAGAAGAGAGCTGTCCGTAGAAGTGCCTCAGGTCACCTGACTATCTGTTCTCTACTGTAAGAAGTCCAGTTTGTCATATGTATATATGTATATGTATATTTCTGTATATGTAGACATATATATATATATGAATATATTTGTGCATATATATGTAAATAAATAGCAAAAAAAATAACCTAAGTATTCTCTTTCCTCCAGGAATACCTTGTCCTGTCATATTTGAGGTCTCCAGGACAGAGGACCACCAACTGTCTCATGTTCTCCTCTTCTAACTAAAATTCCACAATGTATATAAAATAATGTATTTGAAAGTAAGAAGTAATTTCTGTTCACACGTCTTTTGTGCATTATTTCCGGCAGGACTGCATATATCTTATTATGTTCCCTTTTCCTCATATGAGCTGTTTTTGCATATGCACATCCTGGTTATGACTAAACAGAGCAGTGTATCTGAACTGAATTTCTATAGTTAAGTTATTTGACTAATTTTGTCCCAGTCTTAATGAAACTGTTTTCAAATTAATCTCAATAAAACTGGACAGAACAGGTCGGGCTCACGGTACTGAACTGCTCCAGAGATTATACTTTAAATCTATATTTAAGTGTTAAGTGAGTTTTGATTAATCATTGCAGGAATACACTGTTGTCCTCAGCCCGCCTGTTCTTGTCAAGTTGTGTTGTAATGAATAAAGTTTTTTTTTTCTATCAGTTGTCAGTCGTGTGCTGTTGTGGTTTAGCTTTGGGTTCAGTAATATAGTAATATACTAATGTATATATGTGTATATATATATACATATATATCTATAAATATATATATATTAAAAATGTGTGTATATTTATATATGTATGTACATATATAGATATACATATATGTATTTATATGTGTATATAGTGTATGTATATACACATACATATATACATATATATGTATGTGTACATATACTGTATATGTGTAATCTTTGCAATGTTACCAAAACAATACCATATAAAATATATTTTTTACAGTGTAAAACAAAGTTAAGCAGATATTGGTCTAAATATAATATCAGCAGAACTGCTCACGTCATCACAGACAAGTTTTAACAACGTGGAAATGTTTGAAAAAAAAAGTGCTTTTACAAAATATTGATTTATACTAAGCATTGGATAATAATAATTAATTGTGATTGGCACGTAATAAAGATTTACGAGTTCTTTGCAATCAAAAGTCAATAGGACTAGATAATTAAGTGTATTAAACAGAAGCGTCCAAGTACAACACGCTCACATCTCAAACAAACACCATTTCTACAGAAGGTAGCAGAATTTCTAGAAATGCCACAGGAACAAAGGCAACCTAGTCCTTTTTATGATTTATTATTCCGAGTTGTAAAAACCGAGGTTCAGAAGTAGTTCGCACGCTCGCCTTACAGCAAGAAGATCTGGCTCAGGTCCTGGTCTTCCTAGGAGGACTTTGAATGTTCTTGTCCATCATTATAAGCCATGTATTTTCACTCTGGAAAAAAAAAAAAGAATGTCTGCAAAATGACATTTGTATTATTTATTTTTATTATTATATTTATTTTATGCAAAATGTATTTTTATTGACCCACTGAAACGATTATCAAGGCCTTGGATTTAAGACTCATCTTAATCAGATATGCCTAACTAAATGTCCAATGTATATATACTTCCATATGAGACCATTGCTTATGCAGAGCCATTATATTAAGCCTATACTATCACTGATGCAGCTGAACGTATTGCATTCTCTGCGTGTGGCGCCCCCAAGCGGTGGCATGGAAAGGCTGCAGTCACCCCTAAAAAACCTGGAACGAGTGAAGGTTGTGGCCTAAAAATACCATGATTACATTTATTTATGAATGGATTCATTAGATTGGACAGTAGGGTGGACAGGAAAGGTAATTGGACAGAGAGGGAGACGTGATGCGTCACATGACAACAAACAGGAACTCCTTGCGACGGAGTGGCTTTCGGGGTGACCACCCAAACTCAACATCATTTGCTGGACAATGTTAGTGTATGACTTTTATGAGAGATGCTGTATACCCTCCCCCGCCCCCATCATGTTTCCTCACATCATAACAGAGACTCCATTCTACCAGGAGCAGCTGATGAGGCCGTGACCTTTGGCGTGATCGTTGGAGCCCATAACGCACATCCATCACGGCACCAAATAATCAAAGTAGATCTGTATGTTACAGAGACGTGAGACACTCGTATCAACCTGTCAAATTATGTTTGTCGTCCGTCATGTCGTACCGCAGCGTAATTAGCATTTGTATTGACTGATAACAAAAGAATGTGTTCCAGGCTCGGAGTTATTTCTGGTCCTCTCATGCTGGCTGCAGGGTTCTCGTCCTGGTTTCAGAGCACCGTAGGACCTCGGGTCAATCGTCCCGGTCAACCTCTGGGTAGTTCTTGACTAAGCTACAGCAACAATGAAGCGATTCATGTTTTTGGTACATTTTAGCGCTTGAGTTTACAGTGAAGTTCTTGCTGATTTCCAAAGTCTTTATCTCCTTGTTTCCTGTCTTTTGAAAATAAGCTCAGGCGCCCAGGACAACATTTACAGAAATATTCCCATCAGCCCCGGCCGTCTATGGAGGTAGCGGTGCATTGTTTAAAAACCTCCTGGTGTGTGTCTGCAGTGGTCTGTCAGCCTCTGTTACACATTACCTTTCAGAGAGATGTTATCATCCCAACCATCCCCCACATGGAGCCTGTCACTGAATGACACAGCCCACAACACAACAAAATTGCCCGTCTGGCTGCTCCGTATGACTAACTGTCTTCTGCACTTCACTAAGTGCAATTTGGTTCCCTGTGCGAAGGCCGTGACGAAGGAAGAGTTGGTTGGCTGAAACTGTCCAAACGGTGCTGATGTAATGATGTTGTCAAAGCTGTGGGATGCGTGAGAGTGCACGGCCGTTTCAGTTTGCTAAGCGCAAGGTTTGGAATGTTTGTCTGCTGCAACGCTGTACGTTGAACTTGAGTTGCAGATGAAATGACATGAAAAGCAAAGGACGGAAAAATTACGTTACGGAATGACAAAACGTACGACAAAAAAAAAAGAAAATACATTTTAAAGATTTAATGTGGAATATGCGTTAGCTTAGTGCGAGACTGTGGATTATAATTATCTTAACTCACAGTAAGAAAAACTTCAACATTACAGTACTGCTACTACAACCACTACTATAACTACCTCTGTACCACTACTATTGCTAGTACTGCTTTTAATAATATTAAATAAGGTGGGAGGTGTCTGTGATTGGTTGATTGGTTGACTTAGATAAATAAATAAATAAATAATGTATTCACCACCAGAGTGTGTCTGTTGTGGTTATAAATATCTTTATTGTGGTGGCTCATGTTTGGGGAGGAGGGGTCGTTTCGCCCCACTGGGCCGTCCTCGTGGGCAGCAGATGCGCCACAGGGAGTGTGTGTGTGTGTGTGTTTGTGTGTGTATACTGAGCTGTGGGTGGAGAAGCGCCGCCAGTTCTCTCTCTCACTCTCTATCTATCTCTCTCTCTCTCTCTCTCTCTCACACACACACACACACACACTCCCACTCTCCACACTCCAGCAGCAGCGGCTCCGTGTCTTCTGTCCGCTCCAGATGATGCCTTGGATTTAGCCGGGCCACACGAGTGATATGAATAACACACTGGACGAATTGCACACTTCCAGAAGCTTCGGAGAGAAAGCGGATTTTTTCCAGAGCGGCAGAGTTAACGTGAGGCGCTTCTCCAGCCCGGCCGTCATCCCGCTGAGAGCTCCTTCACTCACAGCCCATGTTCAGAGCAGCAGGACTGCGCTCTGCCGCGGGAACAGGTAAGAAAAAAAAAAAGAGTCGATTTATTCAAAGACTTTTTGTCACTTTATTTCGTCCAGTGCAGAACACAGAGGAGCCATTGTTTGTGACACAGAGCTGTGGTGTAGACTTTGAACCTGTAAATACAATTGGCTGCTGTCAGTGCTGTGTAATGAACTTTTCTTTTTCTTTTTTTTTTCTTTCTTTTTTTTTTTTACAGTGCTGGCATCAAATCAAACACCTGTTAGTCTGTGGCAGATAATTAGTAACTCAGTAACAGTTCAGTTTTCACACAGCAGTGAAGGCGTCTGTGCACGAACTGCAACTTTAACGAACATTCTCCTCATGTTTGATGTTAACATTAAGTCCATTCTGTTCTCACAAAATATTTGAATATATATATATATACATACATACATACATATACGTATATATGTATGTATGTATGTATATATATATGTACACATATATAGGCATTACTACCTAATTGTATGATACAAACATATATATTTTTCAAAATTATTATATAAAACAAAATAGATCACAGACTCAGCAGTTGCCTCTTTGGCAACATATATAATTATATATTCTGTCTGCATAGATAGTCGTCTGCTTCTGGCAATTTTGTTTTATAACATGCACACAAATTACAAACATATTTAAAAATATATTTACAAATATGTTTACAAATATATTTATATATTTTCTATTCTCACACATATGTCATATGGAATAAATAATAAATAATATGTCTTTCATGTATTTGTTTTATTTTTTTAAATAAAATAATCTGTTTACTACTACTAAATAATCAAAAATATACATATATATATATATCACACATGGAAAAGTACTTTGACAACAATGTGGGAAAACATTTAGGATACAAATCTCCAGCAGATCCAGACTCAGAGCGTGCAGCCGTCTGCATTCTCATCATCGTTGCACAGACGCACAAAGAAAAAGAAGTCAAAAAAAGTCAGGCAGCAGGTGGTTGTTACGCACCAATAAAATGCTGCATTCTGCAGCTTTTACGATGTCACAAAAAATGTTTATAAAAAAAAAGAAATTCCACTGTAGCACTTTAAAGAGCCAGCGTTTACAGTACCATGATGTCTGTGCCTGTGAGCAGCTGCGTTCAACAGAGTGAGGAGCGGTTCGTGTGTGCACGTTATCTGCCATCTTATCAGAAGTCTGTTGGTGACTGGGGTGTGTCTGTGTCTGAGAGGATCCGTCAGTTTGTTTAGAACCTGTTCCATTTGTCTTCCTCAGTCCTGTGCATGCCACACGGGCATCAGAGAAACCAGCTATATGTCAGAACAATCAGACTAATCTGGCAGAAAGTTTGAAGCAGATTTGCGATATAACCGTCCAGACTGGCAAACTCAACTTACACACACTCCAACAGTTGAATAAGAACAAGAAACATTCTATCCCTCTGTGCGTTAATCAAGCACAAATAATCCTCAGGTTGCTACGCTGCCCTCTATGGATGGGTTGATAACCAAAGAAGATTTATATTTAAATATAAATATGCGTGTATATATGTGTTAGTGCGCTAAATTATGAGAAAAAAAATTATTTCCACCATTTTTTGGTCAATATTGAAATTCTATGATATTTATTTCACAGCATGAACAGTGAATTATCTGTTTTTTTTACATTAGAATTTAACCACAAAATTATAAAATCAGCAATGTAGTGCACTCCAAACAAAAACACTTGCATAATACAAAACACACTGCACTGCCGTATATGTCTGTATGTATTCTGAATGCAGGTGAACTATATTAAATATATTTTCCATGTACAAATCACAAAAAGTTTATTTGCAATTCATTTTTTGCATCATGTTCTTGTGATGGTTTGCAAGCAAAATGGTAATTTAATTAAAAATTTAGGCTTAATGTCCAAGCAAAATGGTAATTTAATTAAAAATGTAGGCTTAATGTCTGTATATATATATAAATAGTTTTGGATTCACGGCTCTGGTCTCTGTACTAATGTGATGTGTTTTATCTGCTGCAGGGCCAATAAGGAGTCGGCCGAGTCCTTTTCTTCTATGGTTCCAAACACTTTCTCTGAGCTTCTTTCCTCCAATCTCCCTCAGTTCATCTCCGACTGTCTGCTACCGAGAACCAAAAGCACTTTAACTCAGGTGAGTGCTCCGTTCAACACCACAACCACCGGCGTCAAAAAATACGGTACAGTAAGACGGTGTTTGCGCTCGGGTTTCTTCCCAGAGTTCAGAGTGTTCAGGATGGTCGAACCAGTTAAGCCAGTATGAAAATACGTCAGAGTTGAGGAGGCGAAGCTGCAGCGTCAGCCGCGTCACGATAATCATGTGTGTCCTTAATGCATTTAACATTTGGGCTTTTTTAATTACCTTCCATAGACAGTGGCATGTGTAGCCTGAGAATTGCACCGGATAAATACCTGGTTCTGTTCCAAACAGCCCGTCTGACATGTTTGTTTAACCTCAGGGTGTGTGTGTGTATCTATTCCTGGTATAGCTATACTCGTGGGGACATTTTAAGTTGAGGAGAGACACGGTTTGTGGTTCTTTGTGGGGACATTTTGCAGGGACACATTTGTAGAGAGGCTGATTTTGAGTTCTGAGTTTGGAGTTGGTCAGATTAGAGTTGGTGTACAGATTAAGATTATACACACATCAAAAACCTGCAGCCACAGCGGCCCCTTCTGAAACACTTTGTTTCCCTGCTTTACGTGATGCATAATCAAAAATCATATTTTCACATTTACATTTTCAACTAAACAAATCTAAAACATACCATGCACAATTAACACAACATTTAGAAAAAATGTGTAGCTACTTGTGAGATTATGAAATAGGATTTCTGGCCTTTTTATTTATTTACTTGTTTTTTTTTTTTTTTTTGCTGCAATGCAAGTCTTTTGCTCACGTGAGCACAGGCAGCTCGGAATCATGGGATCACTTGCGAGTTGAACGTGGAACAAGCAAGGGAGTTCTAATGTTGGTGGTACTCAGAGAGCTCAAGTTTGAGAACCACTGTTTTAGGCCTAATCTGACGATTCAATAAAATCTAATCCCACAGCCTCAGCTAAAGTGTCGGTGAAGCCGCTCCTCTCACAGCACAGTGTATTAATAACCGTGGCTCTTTAATTACCTCATTACGATTAAATGACAATAATTCTGCTCACTGATTGTCAATGACAGCTATTGTGGTTTTATTCACCTGATGGGTAGTTATGGGCCCTGATTGCGTGACAGCACTAATGACCTTAATGACCTTTCTCAGTAAAGATACACAATAAGGCGTTTAAATAAACACATCGCTGCTGTAATTGCAGCTGCGCCGCAGTTGCACCCATAACTTTCCAGCTGGCTGGAGATTCACTCACAGTAGCTACACTTGTTGTTTCAGAAATGATGCAGCTTGAGGTCAGGTGGGTTGATAAGTGATGACTAAAATGTGATCTAATAGGTTGTGTCTGATGATCGTTTAAACAAACAGGATAAAACGAGCTGAGTCAACGAAAAGGAAACAACTGATGATCGTTTAAACAAACAGGATAAAGTCAGAGTCATCATAGAGTCAACGAAAAGGAAACAATTCAGAGACGCTGCAAAAACATAAAAAAAAGGAAGGATTTGTCTGATATTGAACGGTCTGTCCTTCTCCTTAATTGGGCGTTGACCACACTCACCTGTGTCCTTTATCTAATCAGAGTCATTGGTCCCACCTGCTACCCTGGGTGTGTATGCCTGTCTGTTTGACTGTTGTCTAATGTTGTTCAGCTGCGACTGTCATGTTTTCAGCTGCGACTGTTAAATTAAAACTGTTTAATTAATAGTTAATTTAATTAATAGTTAATTTAATTTATTCTTAGTTCTGATGCCATGCCTGGAGTGCTGCGTTTGGGCCCCTGCCCCACCTGTTTGTGAGGTGTATTAAAACAGAGTGGCTGATAAATGTAATCTCACCTTTAACACCAAGTCCTACCATAAATTATGAACCGCTGCAGTCGGTTCTTCCAGTTCATAAAAATGACACAAAGCAAACACAAAAGTGAAGAATCAACTTTGGAAAAATAAATATAAAGTCAAGTAAAGTTGATACACCGTCTTGAATATTAAATAGTAATTCAGTGTCAATTTAATTTGAATTTTCTAACATTTTTGTGTTTGAACTTGGCATTTGTAGAGCTATGTATTTTATATTTTATGCCTTTGACGTTTTTATTATGATAAGTTTCTACATTTCTATCGTTCACTTCCGTGATATAAATCAACCGCCTACATTCATCCTCAAGGTTCTGTGTTTGTTTGCCACCTGTTGACTTTAGAGGCTGTTCAAGTAAATCAAGTAGTCATGAGTCAATATATAACTCAACATATAACTCAATATATAAGTCAACATATAAGTCAACATATAAGTAACATATAGTATAAGTCAACATATAGGTCAACATATAAGTCAACATATAAGTAACATATAGTATAAGTCAACATATAGGTCAACATATAAGTCAACATATAAGTAACATATAGTATAAGTCAACATATAGGTCAACATATAAGTCAACATATAAGTCAACATATAAGTCAAGTCAGGTGAGACAGAGAATACAGAGTGGAACGGTGTGACCGTGGTGACTCGGACTCTTGCGCGGCAATACGAGGTTTGTTTGCACCAAAGTGAACCGTCATCCGCGGGGCAGTTTACATTAGGTTGAAACAACTGGAGTTTTAAAGAAGATCAGTCTCCATGGTAAATAAATCGCTGTGTGCACTGTACTAGCTCAGCTGTTTCAGACGTACAGCTGTGACATGAGAGATTAGCCTGTGAAATGAAATCCTTCTGCTCTTTGAAGCCTGACCTCAGGATAAATACCCACGGGCAAGGCTGTGCCTTCAGCTCTGACCATCACCGTTGGCCTGGACGGACCTAAAGCCTCATGCTGATTTTTTTTGTGATGATTTATATGCTGATAGTTTTAGTGGATTGCACTTTGCTGAAGAATACAAGAATACATTAGCAGCATATTATTAATTTTTTTTAAATTTTTGGTACGATTTCTAAGTCAGTCTGTAACGGCCGCAGCTTTCCAGGAATATAGTGAGCAGTCATGGTTGGACTCACCCCAGAAACCTGAAGCACAGACCCAGACGCTGGTAAGTGCTCAGTTCAGCTCTATGACTCAGAGAACATGCCCGTCCATTTGGAGATGTTATTTCAGATGCAGCCCACATCACGTCCATGTTCTTACCTCAGACTTTTCAGCCTCTCTCTCTCTCTCTCCCCCCCTAGCAGATGTTACCCGCTCCTCAGGGTCACATTTAATAGATATAAATCATCTTCTTCTCGCAACTGCTGAATAATTTATGACAAGGCTGCTTGCTGTCCAAATAGAGCTCAGGTTAGCAAATATTTGTCTTTTATAAACCAATATTTAATTAAAGAATTTGTATAATGTGTGTAGTTGTAATATTGTCTAAAATGTATTATTTAAAAAAAGTATTTGTAGCATTCTGTAAATTAATATTTGTCTTCAGGTTTCAATATTTATATATTACTTCAGTTGTTCCGGGGATGTGGGTTTATTTAGGGGGCGAGGGCCGGGGTGGGGCCGGGGCGGGGCGTGCTCTGAGCAGTAAAAGATCAGATTTATACTGTAGTGAAGGCGTGGGCAAACTTTTTGACTCATGGGCCACAATGGGTCCTAAAATTTGACGGGGGGGCGAGGTCAGGAGCGGATCGATGGAGTGTTCATGTGAACTAAGATAAAAGTCATGTAAACGTCATGCATAAAGGTTAAAATGCTTTTATCCTTTTCTACGCCATCTATTGGGGAAACAAAGTATAATGATAATATAAATAAATTATATAATTTTGCAAAAGTTTAGTGGGCTGGATTAAAAAGCTGAACGGGCCACATCCGGCCCCCGGGCCTTAGTTTGCCCGTACGTGCCATGCCGGTTCTGCAGGTTGAATATTGCAGCGATATTGTCTCTGGCTGAAAGTGTTTGTCTGCCAAGAGGTGGATACACTGTACACAGCACACCTGCGAGAGCGCCGCCCTGCCTGTCTGGCCGGCGTCTCATTACTTACTGTGATTCGATCAACTGTGGTCAAGGACAGTTTGTCTGGAGCTGGAGCTTTTATTATGGGAGCTGAGGAGACCTCGTTATCGTTGGGACTCCATTTTATACCATTTCATTTTTGCTGCGTGATAACTGGCAGCGTCAGTTTGTCTGCGCTGCCCACAGTCATTGGACTGCGCTCTCAGATAAACATGTGTGCAGCTGTGGGAGGTTCTCTTCCTGTCTGTTCTCACAAGTGGGACGCGAGGATTAGCGTCGGTTCTAAGCTCACACTGAATTGTCACAATAGCCGGTATTACAGTATGTACCGCGGCTGTGAGGGTGCAGTTTCTCTTTTTTTGTTTACTTGTCAAAGGTAAATCACTGGTGTATGTGAGTGTATGAAGTACAGTTTTATCACATCTAGACCACATCTACGTGGACCGCATGCTAGTCAATAAAATATGGGTCAAATTTTAATTTTGACTTGGACAACTCTTTCCTGACTTTTTTGTTGTTTAATGGGAGCAACACTCACTGTGACAATCACATTACGTAATATATTTACTAGGGGACCCTTATTTTAAAAGTCACAACCCTTCACGACCCAAGTCAATAAACTTTATTCGCAAATTCCTGGGAAACATGATGTGAGATGAAAAAATAAATAAATCTTGCGACCCACCTGAGGGTCGCGACCCAGTCTTTGAGAAACAATGCTGGTAATTTAACTCCCAGAAAAGAGTAAAAGTTTCCCTGATTCTTTTTCTCTTAAACACTCAGGAAGTTGGTACTTTATAAATGTCCAAGGACTGAGAATCACCTTCAGTTCCTCTGTCAGATGTTGCCACCAGTTTTGCTCCACAGGGCAATTTTGGAAGCGTTCCTATGACTGGAAGCTTTCTTCAGACCCAAGCGTTCTCATTATGGTGCTGAGATGGGGAAAAGACGTCGATTTAAACTGGAGATCTTCCGTGTGCGCCATTAACTCACCCTCCCCACTATTGACACAGTTAAAGAAAACGATTGCACAATATTAATGATAAGATAAGGCCGAACATTGAGTTTCTTAGAAAGTACCTCCTTGCACTTCCCCTGAGGTTAAACCTAATTTTCTGTCCTGCTGTAATAAAGGAGTCGTTCACCGCCGACGTCCTAAATATCAGAGATTCAACGTAGGTTTGAATCCTCAGGCTGCAAAGTAGGCAACAACGGTCCAACACGTGTCCCTTCTGGGAAACCTCCGGTGCATTTTCTGTTAGTTTTGACACTTTTGCTTTGCTTTTCCGGGAATTTCTTGTTTGATATTGTAGCTTTGTCTGCTGTGCTCACCCTGAGAAAACCCTCTTTTTTCCACTTTGTGTTTTGGTATTTTGGAGGCGCTGCTCTGAAATGAGAGAAAAAGAAAAACGCTTTTTACATTTTCAAGGACAAAGGAGGAGTTAGTGTTGTGGGGAGGCAACATGACTGAGTTTCTCACACTTGCACTGTGGAGGATCTCCCTGCATGTAGTTTACAGCAGTGTTCTTTAGGATCATTATTTTTTAAATATTTTCTATATGTAAAATTACAAAGTCACATTTTTGTCTTTTACAATTTTTTTTAAATAATTTTTTTTATCCATTTTTTTTCCCAGTTGCTATGTACGGATATTTTTTATGTCGCGCATCTAAGACAGAAGCATGAACTTCCGTGCCAGAAGAGTCACCTTGCCTGCCATCACACCACTCTGTCTGCAGAAGCGGGTAGGAACCTGTGATGGATTTGTGATGTGATTACACATTCTTATAATTTGTTAATGGCATGTTATGTGTCAATGATTTGTCTTAATGCTAGAATCTCGATGAATATTAATCTATAAATACATAGTATTTTCTCTCATTTTAAGCAATTAAGAAAAAATAAATGCCTGCAACACATTCCATGTTATGACAGATCCAAATGAGACTGAAAGAAAATCACATAAATAACTTCCTTGGTTGCATTTTAAGTGTGTTGAAGTGTGTGCTCAGTTCAAATATATGGCAAAAATGTGGAAAAATCCACTGGATGTCATTGATGTGAACTGTATTAATCCCTAAGGAGTTCCCTTCAGGAAATCAAACACCTACCTCTGTGGATTTGTAGTGTTGACGGTATCAATTTCAAAGTGTGTTTTCTGTTTAACAAATAATATAAGTCGGTTTTTGCCAAAACATATTGGCACAACATTTCTTTCGTTGCCAGTTGGCCTGATGAAGGTCGACGAGCTGATTCACAGCTGTTTTTTGTAATTTGAAGGTAGACTGTTTACCTCAACACACACAGACGTGACACAGACATCGATCATTGTCAGCTGCTCTCTTTATTCTCCTCTTCTGTAAATGCTCGGAGCAGCACGTAGCACCTACTGCATTAGTGACACCCTGATCCTCTGAGTTGCCTGTGTTACCCGTACGTGTTTGGATAAACTGTTCACATGTTCGGGTGTGGCCTGCTCTATTTAAAAGTTTAAAAAAAATGTAAATGATTTGAAGGTGTGAGTGTCTTTGCTGTAGGGTAACAGCAGCGAGGAGCAGCGAGGAGACGAGCTCCTCGGCAGTGATAGAGTCGCAGCTGTGAGGCCGCGGTTCAAGGTTAAACCGTAGTCGTCTAATTGGCAACACAGTTCACATTGTCCTGTCCTTGAGATAAGAAGAGTTTCTCTTCAACAAAGCTATATATAGTCGTGCCGGCATTCATTCTTCCATCAGTGTGCCGTGTGTTGAAAATTGGAATATTTTTTCCGTCTGATCCAAGGTTGTCGTTCTGTGCTACAAACGTTAGCATCTGCGTGTTGTAGCCAAAAGTATTACAAAAAAAGTTAATTATTTCCTTTAGGGTTTTTTGTCAAATACTCAAGTGTCTGTATCTGTTTACAGAGGGTAAAAATAATACAAGTGTCGTCAGTGAATCTACAAATGTTAGATAGTCGTTCAACTTGTTTATTCGTGTGGAAAATGCTTCTGGTTTCTAACTGTCACTGTTTCCTGTTGATGTGACACTGAGTGACAAAAACACCAGCTGTACTCACAGCACCACACTGGCAGTACTTTTATTAATTTATTAACACACACACACACACACTGGTAGCACTGTTGATGTAATAGCCATAGTGTATTTTTCTAAGAAATATATTTTCACTGTAGTCTTTTCAGGTGAGTTTTTATACGAGCAAAACTGCAGACGGAACATACAGGGAAGTTCAGACGTACTGGTAGTACTTCATGTTGTACTGCCTTGTCTGAGAAGTCAGTATATATTCATGTTATAGAAAAGTACTGTGGTCAATACTGCTCCAACTGTGTCATCCCTCAAAGTAGAAACATCTGTTTATCTGAAGTAAGACAGACCACACGGTGGAGGAGTGGTTTGCGATCGTGCCTTACAGAATGAAGATTATGGTTTTTGATTGTCGTCGGTACTTTTGATCTTTGTGTTTATGTGTGTAGGTTGGCTGCTATAGGATTGAAGCAGTACAGAGGTAGGAAATGAATAAATGTTAAACAAAGTACTATTCAGCCCAATACGCAGGATTCATGTGTTGTTTTTTCTCGTTGGGAAACTCTGGCCTTGGACACGTTTTTCACTCGTTCTTCAGTTTTGTTCAGTGTCTGTCGACCCGTTTTTCACTTATTTAAAAAATACCCTCCCTGACTTGTTTGATTACAGAAATTTGCTTGGTATAAAAGAAGAACTAAGAGATTAATTTTCATGAAATTACTGTAGTATTGCAAAAAATACTTCAGGGTTTTAGTCCCAAAGGTTTTATGATAAATCGTCTTAACGTGTTTTTACATGTATTTATCACATGATTGTTAAAAACAAACATTTACACTTCACTGTAGGTTTTAGTTCAGGTTACCTACACTGTGTCTGTCACACTTTTTTGTGCTACTATTTTAATTAGCAGGCTAATATTATCTGCACACTACACACTGCACTGCATATCTACACACTAGAATAACATTTATATAAAGATGTTTTTATTTTATAACTTGAATGGCTCATGATCTACCAGCACTTGGGCCGCTCTGCTCTACAACAAATCAAAACCCAGGTCTGTTTGTGCTCCTCGATGCTAACGATTTTTTTTTTTTGCATAGGTTATTAAAGTTTATAATGAAGATAACATCAGCAGAGCGGTAGAAGTTCCCAGTGACATCACAGCGCGGGACGTGTGCCAGCTGTTCGTGTTGAAGAACCACTGCATCGATGACCACAGCTGGACTCTCTTTGAACACCTCCCCCATCTGGGAATAGGTAAAACTGCAGCCGAGAAACACTGCACTGAGTACTTTTTGACGTCTCATTCAGTGCTGTTGGATTTTTGTCTCCATCCATGAATTTTTTGATTTCATTATTGATTCACCTTCACATCAAACTGTCGGCAGCTTTCTGAAGCATTAGCATGCTAGCTTTAGTCGTTAGAAAAGACTCTCCCACGACTGGCCATTGATTATGAGGAGTGTGTGTGAAGTCAGCGATGAGTTTGAGCTCTGATGGTTCTGAAGTCATGGTAGTAGGTCACTCAAGTGCTGACTCGTGAGTTTTCAAACTGTGAGCCACAGTCACAGCTGAGACAGAAGAGGTTTCTCAGGGCTCTGAAACTCAACTCAACAGCTAGAACTACTTTTTTTGCATTTTTAAATAACCAACTAAAGTATTTTAATAACTTAAAAAACCAACCACCATCAGCCTAAAAAAATGACTTTCTCCAGTTAGTTTTAGGATAGTGGCGCTTTGGCCCAGAGGCAATGTCTCTGTCTTTGGTGTGGAACCCTAGGGTTCATCTGGACAAGTTCGAACCCCAGTTAGAGCGGTTGGTACCTTCCAGTGGACTCACCGGATAAGTGGATGAAAATGGATTGGATGGAAGTTTTAGGATATCAATTGAACTGTGGATTTATTATTAATAATAATAAATAATAATATTATTAATAATAATTATTATTGTTGTTATTATTACTACATAATAATAATTTTAAAAAACATATTTTTAAATTATTATTATGTAGTAATAATAATAATCCTAATAATCCTAATAATAATAATTATTATTATTAAATTTGAAACTGTCAAAGTCTCATGGAGAGTGTACATGGTACAGATAGCTGTTCTGTTCAATGAGGTTATTGTTTCGCAATTGCCATAAAAGTGCAGTATCTTAAAAAAACCAAAAAGCTATTGCACCAATAAAAACTTCTTTTGTAGTTTAGGGAAGTAATAATGCAGCTCATTCTTTGAGAGTTCTGCTCACACTCATAAAAGTTAATGCTCAAACTCAGTGCCTTAAAGGTCAGCAATAAAGGAAGGAAAGTGAACCCTTTGTCATTGTGACACCGCACACCACTGCACACAAGCAAATGTGACCTCGGCTTATAACCCATCACCAAAGTGAGCAGGGGGCAGCTTAACCCGGGGAGCACTGGGAACCACTGCCTAAAGAAGGAGACCGTTCTTTTGGTTCACCATTACCTCTGATCAGATGTTTAAAAAAAAAATTAAACAAAATATATTTATATTTATGTTTCCTTCTGGTCTCACCAGAGAGGACCATCGAAGACCATGAGTCTGTCATGGAGGTGCTGTCAGGCTGGGGCTTGGACACCGACAGCCGGCTTTATTTTAGAAAGAATTATGCAAAGTATGAGTTTTTCAGGAAACCACTGGTGAGTTTGACATCACGATTGTACTGAGATTGAAGGGAAACTTGGAACGCTGTAATACTGACGCTGCTCTCGTTTGGCCAGGAGTTCTTCCCTGATCACATGGTCTCCATATCTAGTGAAAGCGATGGGACGGTGGATCCTTCTCAGCTCATACAGGTGGGCTACAGATCACGGTTTATTTATGAATCTAACGTATATATTTTAAAGCCTTCGACTAAGCTATATTTCCTTTTTATTTTACCAAATGCAGACGTTTCTCAAGTCCAGCAGTTGTCCAGAGGTACATGGATTCCTCTATGCCAAAGAACAAGGCAAGAAATCCTGGAAGAAGTTATATTTTGTTCTGCGGAGATCAGGGCTTTATTGTTCCAACAAAGGAACTTCCAAGGTGAGTTTACCCTTCAAAATAAAAGCCATTTTATTTAGGAACATCACACAGTTTGTCTAATCACTTCACTTTCTTTTCACATGATTCTTAAGTCACACAGTAAATCTTAAAAATTCCCAGAGGAACCACGTGCTTGGCGCCTGCTGGGGGCAGCATATCTGCTGTTAACACAAGAATGTCCCAAATATGGGATCAATAAAGTTTAATTATTTTTATTATTATTATTTAATCTAAAGCGTAATATATGTAAAAAAACCAATGGGAAAATAAAGCCACTCGCCTTCATCCTCGTCCTCTTTCCTAACACTGTGGGCCCATTTATGTCACCCTTGTTATGAGAGGGCAGCGAAACAGGTTGAGCTTGATTTCACTGAGGTCAGCTGGCACTGCAGCCAGGCATGAACAGCGCCCTGAATGCTGCTGACAAGTGAGCCTTATACGACGGCACGAGTCGTGCCAACACAAACTCCTCAACTGCTTTCATTTCCTACAACAGAGGAGTCTTTGTTGTCGCGGGCAGGACCGCTCTGCTACAGTGCACACTCCAGCCCTGGCAGGTTCACGTTCATCTGTTGCACACGGACACGTCGCTAGTCGCCTGGCGCAGACGCTGCAACAGCTGTGACCAAGAGTGTGACCGGTGTGTCACACGATGGCAGCACAGCGGCGGGCCCTGTACCTTATTTTCTTTGGCTGTTTATCTCTGACACAATGTCCACGTTGCTTGGTGCTGCTTCACTGGAGCGTGTGTGAAAATGTATTTCTTTCCCTCCTTCAGTGCATTTACAACCTAACAACACCCTTAATAACTGATGGCTGTGTTAACACGCAGAGACTGAACAATGGTTTATTGACAGATAACCGTTCACGTACAGCACGGTTACGCAACTTCACAATGAACTTCACCTCCGTTCCTGAGGAGCTGCTGCTGTGAGCTCAGATATTCAGATGTCAGTTGGGCTTTAGATTCCAAAACTGTGAATTTACAGTGATCTTTATTATTTAAATTTTTTTTTGCGCACTGCTGACGTCTTACAGATCACATGTGTCAAAACTCAAGGCCTTTGGGCTGAATCTGGTCCGTCAGGTTATTCACGCGTGGCCTTCGAGGCAACTCTAATGCTAAACCTTTACGTTATTTTTAGTTATATATATATATAAATATAAACAGGTCTTAGTGTGTGCAGCAACTTATCAGTTGTATCAACTTAGGTAATATTGAGTATTATCTCTTTAGTTTACTGTTTAATGCTGTTCCACTATAACTAAACCAGTACATTTGTCTCGTACCAGGAACCCCGGCATCTCCATTTCGTTGCCGACTTCAGTGACAGTGACGTCTACGGCGCCTTGTCCGCAAAAAAGCTTCACGGAGCACCGTCAGATTATGGCTTCTGTGTGAAGGTATCGTCCGTTTCTACTCACAGTTGAGCTGCACATTATGTTCTCCTCATTATTTTCTCTTCCTCTCAGTCCCCAAAGTGTAGCTCAGCGCGAGACTTGAAGCTGTTCTGTGCCGATGATGAGCCAACCAGGACCTGCTGGCTCACGGCCGTGCGCTTGTTAAAGGTCGGCTGCCTTAATCTCAAACTCCAGATTTATGTTTTCGTATTTTAAAGTCCTCCAGAGTCTGAGCTGGATTTTCGTCTAATGTTAGGAAATGGTATAAGGAAATCATCAGGGGGTTAAAGGTTAGCAGATCCTATGCTAAGCTGCTACTATAGACAGTAAGATTAGATTGTTTCCTTTTAATCAATAATTAATATACAGTAAAAACAAGACATTTATCATTATGTACATTTTGAAAGTAGAATTACAAAAACAGGGGGGTTATGTTTTACTGTTTTTAAATTTAGTGTCATGGTAATTTAGTTTATGTTTTACTGTTTTTAAATTTAGTGGTAATTTAGATTTAATGAAACGTGTGAAACTGTAGAATCCAAACTTTTTGATGAATTCTACGTTCCTTTGGTTAAATCAGTGTTTCTCAAATAATGGGGCGGGGTCCCCTGGGGGTGGTGTCAAAGGCTTCCAATGGAATATGGCTTGCTGGACATAAGTGTACCACTGCTGTGATGCTTGAATGATAACAAGCCTTCAGTCACTAGGTGGCAGCACCTCATACAGGGGTTTTTGTACAGATAAAAATATATATGTTATTAGGTTCAATAGTATTTCAATCCGCAGGGGTGTCATTCACGGGGGTCGGGGAGGGTGAAAACAAGGGGGGGCATGACATATATATATATATTTATTTGTAGAATTTATTTTTCATAATTAAATAATAAATAATAATAATAAATATAAATATAAATATTTTAATAATCTGAGGTCAAAATAATGCAGTGTGGTCAGTAGTTCCAGTGTTTATCCTAAAACTGCTAACCATATGTATATATTTTTTTGTTTTTCCAGTATGGGATGCAGCTGTACCAAAACTTCCTCCAGCCTCATCAGAAACAGAAATCCTCACCGATGGTACGCTGAGGCTTTCATTACTCCATGTTCATTTTTACTCCACATTCATTTAGTATTTAGTATAAAATTACCAACTAGTGTAAATTTAAAAAAAAAGTTTGTTGGAGCGCGCTCACGACGTGACACACAGTAGCAGAATAGCAACTCTATATTTGTGCAGGACAAATGAGGCACCTTCAGCCTGTTAATGTGGGCTCCTGGTCCCAGAATAGCCCCAGACTCCAGCAGGGGTATTTTGGTGGCGGTGAACACCATCTATTTCTGGCTTTCAGACATGTTCGTGAACCCTTTCTTTTCTAAAAATATACAGTGATCAGCTGCTCTCACATTTAACAACTCGTCACTTCTTCCCCGCTGTTAGAGGTTTATATGTGGCCCAGAGCCGCGCCGAAAGGATTAGCTGGAAAGAGGGAGGAGAAAATAAATCAGCCAGAGCAGGCCAGATTTATATCTACAGTACTGCAGTACCAGTTCAATAAAAGCAGTATTTGTCTTTTTGACAGGTTGTATAACATGTAATAATTGAAAATCTTTTATTATCACAGCAGCTGATTTTTAATCAGCTGCTGTGTCCTCCAGGCAAATCCTCATTACATTTTTTTTCTATTCATTATTTTAAATTTATTGCCTAATTAGTATAGGTGGTTTTGAAAATTTAAACAACTTACTCGTGTGTTCCCAAGTGTGTCCTCAAATTATTTTTAAATGTGTAGAACAGCTGCTAATGACAGAGTCAGGACTTTCAGACACAAGATGGCAATAAAAATCCATCAGATATCAAAACTCCCTCCCTGCAGAACACCACAGAAAAACACCTTTGACATCCAAAATTATAATTAAATGTTTATTATAATTTTATTTTATTTTTAATGTGATGATTCACAGATTAACACAAAAACAAGTCATGAGTTAAACCCATGTGGTTTATTAAAATTATCGTTACACTTTCAGAGAAGCATCTCTGAAAACTCACTGGTTGCCATGGACTTCTCAGGACAGAAGAGTCGGGTGATTGAGAACCCGTCCGAGGCCTTGTCCGTGGCTGTGGAGGAGGGTCTGTCGTGGAGGGTAAGTTATAGTTTAAAAAAACAAAACAAAACAGATGCACAATAAAACCTGAATAACTTTAGAGATTAACACAAATTATTAAAGAGAGATGCAGAGATTTAATCATTGTAAAATTAATTTCACAAATATTAAGTGACATGTGTCTGTAATTCTTGCCCCAGAGGAAAAGCTGCCACAGGCTGAGCAGTCATGGGAGCCCCTCTTCATCGCTGAGTTCGGTCTGCAGCATTGGTCAGTTACTGTTGGACATTTATTGCTATGGTTTTTCTGTGTTGAAAAAGCACGGTAATAACTGTACCGTGTTCTCTGCCTCCGTGCTTCAGCACTTCATTTAGCTCAGCCGTGGTTCCACAGCAAACTGTCCCGGGACGAAGCTCAGCGGGTCTCGTTGATGGGTAAGTAATTACGCTCCTTCCAGTGGCAGTCGTATATCAGTAGTATATCAGTGGCAGTCGTATATCAGCACAGAATAACATTTCTTTGGATGTTATACTATTAAAATATGTTGGTATTTTTGCCTTTTTTACTTGTTCTATGGCCGTCCACGACAACTTTTTTTCTTTGCTGTCAAATACAATCTTTGTGAAATTTTGGAATATATTAGAATATATGACTTTGCTGGCTTTTGTTTCTATTTTAAAGGGAGTCTTGATTTGATCTTAGTCTGGAGTAGAACAGTTCAGTATTTTTTTCTGGTTTGAAATGTGGTTTTGAGTGCACTCTTTAAGAATAGAATCCTAACATGGATCTTTACAAGAGTACAATCAACATAATGGTGATTGCACCACATCACTTCTCTCTTCTTCTCCTGTAGAGTATTTCTCCTGAGAGACAGCCAGAGCAACCCAAAAACATTTGTACTATCGCTGTGCTACTCGCAGAGAGTCAAACACTTTCAGATCGTGCCTGTAAGTACAGAGCCAGAGTCTGGATGAGTTTTTAAAGCCCAAGATCTAACCCTAATTCTGAACAAACCTCTCATGTCTGGTGTGCAGGTGGAGGATGAGGGGGAACTGTTTTACAGCTTGGACGACGGTCACACACAATTTACAGACTTGATCCAGTTGGTGGATTTTTACCAGCTGAACCGAGGCGTGCTGCCCTGCAGACTCAAACACCACTGTGCCAAAGTCGCCCTGTGAACGAGGGAACCGCACAGCCTGAGGAGCGGCGCCGCTGAACTCCTGGAGCCGTTTTCTTAGAACCGTTCATGATATTGTGCCTTGAAAACAAACATCAAAACACTAATCCGCCCGTCATGATAAACTGAAACCACTGTTAACCACTCAGACTGTGGTCTTAGGTCTGTCGAAACGCTGACTTTGATATTTCAACGTAGTACTTAAGTACGTACGTTAATGTCCGTCTATGGCGCTAAATGAACCATGATTGTACTGTATGTATGTAGACTGGGTATTAACTAAATACTGACAAATCAAAGGTAGCAGTAAATAAAATCCAAAAATAGAGGCATATATAAATGGAACATACTGCAGGTTGTTTTTTTTTTTCTCAAAGCAGGAGATGTTTGTACTGCAGGAAAACTGCCGTCATTTGTGGTGCTGTCAATTCGAGGTGATAATCGGTAAAGTAATGTAACAACGTGGCAGTTTGGTAAACGAAAAAATAAACAAACACCTCTGTTCTGTCAGTTCACAGTAAAACTAAGCTATTTTACATTTCGTTGTCATCGTATCTCTGCACATTTATACGAAGATGATTGTTGTCGTCCACGTGGGAGATAACGTGACCTCTCAGGAAGAGTCCCTGTGACTGTTCTGTGTTGTGGGCCGACTCTGCCACAGAGAAAAAGTACAAACCTCATTTCCGATACCATTTTTAAACACACTTGATACTACTGGCCCAAAGAGAATTAATGTCAACATAATTTGTTGCTGGTGCTTTTTATATGCTGTAGGGCCGAGAGAAGTGGAGCCGTGGGTCTCTTGCTTGCCACCAAGGGGCTGTAGTTGCGTCAGGGAGGAGCATCAAGTGTAAAAACCTTGCTATGCTAAATCACTATGCAGACTAACGCTGCAGTGACCACTGCTAAAGGAACATGCTAAAGGTGATTTTACTTCTTCTCGCTGAATAAATTACGCAAGCTAGCTAACAGTCTGTAAGCCTGTTAACGTCTAGAATTCGAGGGTGATGAGCATCCTAGAAATGTAAATCTTTGAACACTACTTTATTGCATTTGTATAAAGTGTACTTTTTTCACTTTCAAAAATGGGGTTTGTAAATGTAATCAAATGGCACAATAACCCACAATATTGTTTTAAATGTGTGTGACTATGCTGTTTGCATTACTTGTATTACCTTTAAGCGGTGACCCTTCTGAATGTCGCTCGTTTTGCCAAAAAGCCATTTAGGTAGAAATCAGAAATAATGTATGATCTAAAGTGTTGTTACTTGGAAAAACAGATTTTTTTTTTTTTTTTTTTAACTGTCCAAAGAGTTTTGTGAGAGTTGGGTTGTTGTACAGTGATATATTTACCACTGCAGTGAAAATACAGCAACAGATTTTAAAAAATGAATCTTTTGAACATTGGATCTAAAATCACTGATTTGCTTGACATGACCATCATCAATTTTATTTTCAAGCAGGAAAAGTTAAATAATGTCATGGACTGCATAGTTTTATATATAAATCATCTGTTTGTAATGTTTGGGTCAAGTAGTAATTCTTTTTTTGTGTGTTTATTGGTTTCATTCTCGTAGCATTGACCTGCTTTGACATATATTGATGAGGATTTATTTAATGGTCAAAAATAGACGTCCACACTTTGTGTCATGTTGGGCATGACTCTTAATGTGAGAAAGGAACAATTCTTACCTTTTTAAAAAACGAACCGTTTATAATAGGCTATAAAACCAGTGGCAAACCCATTTCTTGACAAAAAAAGTAGTTGCTCACTAGTTGCAAGGTTTTATTATTAAACAGTGTCCTCCATAGCTTGGCTAAGCTAATCACGTTTACCTTAACAAGTTTTCTATGGATTTACTACCATCTGCTGGTCCTTTTAAAGAAATGGAAACACTTACAACCAGCAGTGTAATTTAAAGATAGGAATTTGGTGTGATAGCGATGATAAACACGGTCGGGAAATTGATATTTAATTTAGAAAATATTATGTTAGTAGATTTATTTTGTAATATGACTGGACAAAGTAAAAAATCGAAGAAAATTTGCCCTTCCTTCTGTATCTTTTTTATTTCCGGTTTTGTGTTTTGGATCACAACTTCCTGTTCCGCCATGTCCACGCCTCTCTGTCGATTCAAGATGCAAAGGTTTGTTGTGAAATGTGCAAAGGAACAATTTCATAAAATAGTAAATTCGACCAAATTATACATTTTTTAAAAATGTAAACAAATAATATATGTCGGCAGACAGAGACAGTTTGTTTATATGCAAATTACATAACCATAAAAGGTTCAGTCTGTTTAAAAGGCCACAATTAAGAGTAAAACTCCTGTGTAGTTGCAACAAACGTAAAATACCTTTAAAGAACTGTATTTAATTTTAAATAAATTTATTGAAGTATTAAGACTTTACTCGGTGAATCGACATGTCACAGGTGCAGTAGGCTACAGGTGGTTTTAAGCCTGACGTTAACGTGACTTGATTACTCGTGTCTCTCACAAGGCTTGGCAACAGTACGTCATGGTGGCAGCAGCGTGGTGAGCGAAGGAAGATACATACCAGATGGGGATTGTGTAATGATTCTTCACCGATGACTACGGCATGTTGGGGTGAGTTTGACATGTGTCTGAACATGTGCGTATTATTTAGGTCGTGACGCTGCTACGTGACTTTTTTCAAAATACAGTACTTCAAAAGTAGTTACAAGTTTAGTTTAGAAGGTTAATTGACGTGAATGGTACAGTAAACTACACACTGTTTGGGTGTTTATGTGCATTTGTTTGCATCTTTGACGTCACTTCTCATTATTTTTGCAAGAACTATACTTCAGCTTGTTTATTTCTTACTTCTCCCAAATGCTGTGTTGCTGAACGAGCCAAATGCCTGTTATATGACCATATCGTTATTTATTTATTTTTATATAGTTTTATTTCAGAACCTGTTTTTAAAGACTACTAATTACTGGCACCGTGGAGTCATTTGTTTTGGTTTTACATATTCTTATATCTCATAACTTTTTTAATAAAGCTAGATAATTTGAATACGTTTTTTAATCAAAAATGAATTATAATTCTATTATATAAAAAACTGCTTTAGTTGAAGAAGAAACTAAGGATGTTGTCATTCACATTTATAACCACTAGGTGGTAATAGAAGCCTTTGTCATCGGCTTGTCTTTAAACTACACGTCAATGTTTTTTAATCTCCCCTGATTAATACAAAAAAATTAAGTAAAAACAAAATGCATATATATATTAGAAAATTGAAAGATTGTGTTTATTTACGCAAAAACTAAAAGACTAAGCTAAAATAAAAAGCCATTTGATTTTGTTTGTTTAATTTCATCTGTGCTTCTAGACGTTATTGTTTATATAAAACTATTCCATAAGTCGAACATACATGTGCAGAAATCACGTTTTTATATATCATATTATATGGATTACAGAGATATTTTCCCTGGTCACACAAAAAGGAGAGTGTAACTAAACCAAGTATCTCGTCTTGAGGTTTCTGTTAAACAATTTTCTCTGTTTTGATTCAAACACATTGGCCGCGTACACCTCCCCTGCTCCACTTCAATAGCACATTCTGAAACAGCTCCCTCGTCCAAAGATGTGTGTGTGCGCACACAGCGAAGTCTTAAATGCACCCCTGCTTCCGAGGTCTTGTGCTAAATGTTGTTTTGGATGTATTCCTGCCATTGATCGGCGTCTGGCTGCAGGGGGAGAGATGGCAGCTGGGAGAGACTGCGCTTCCTTTAATGAATTCATCCAGCTCTCTCCAACCCAAACGGCCTGTGGATACAGCATCTCTGGCAGTAAAGAAAGCCTCTCTCTGCTCTGTCTTGGCCCTCATGGACAATCACTGCTGTTTGCAACATTTCACACCACTCTGCTGGATCTACTCCCGCCTGCACTTTTACTCTTATGACTTCTGGTACAGGTTCTGTACTTGAACACCACCGGCTTCATCCATTTGCGAAACGCTTCTCCTGTTTTATTCCCACAGTCTTCTTTCTATTATCTCCCCTCCGTCGTCTTTGGCCAATTACTCATTACCTTCAATAACGTCCAGATCTTGGTTTTTGCCCTGCTGGAGGAACACTGAAGGGCATTAGCTCGCCCTTGCTGTGGGTTCGTGGGACAGTTTGGTGAGGTTTTATGAGGGCACTCACTGCAGTGAAGATTGTGTTCTGAAACTGCTTCATTTTTTTTCTGCATTCATCTGTGTCTAAAGCCAAAAGAGATGGAGAAGCTTCTGCCTTTACCTACTGCAGACTGAGGAGGCTGCTGAAGAGATAATCAGAGAATAACAATTATGATGATCAATAATGACTTTCAAATATATGTTCATGCCAGGCCCGCAGCCTAGCTGTGTGGGAGAATTTTTTTTTTAATGCAGCAGACAATTATTATTCTTATTTTGTTAAATTATATTTTAACAACTTATTAAAACCTAATAATTGTTCTTATTCATAACAGATCGATTAGAAGGTGATAATGTTTGCATTTCATATTTTAGAAACATTTGTCCTAAATTGTCCTATATTTTATTGACTTATTTACAGTCTGTAGTAGTAATGAAACGACTCCAAAAAGTGGTCACGTCATCACTACACCCTGAGTTATTAGGATACTGTCATCTTCAACAACTATTAGCAAATTTTAAGAGCTCACTAAAAACGACGAGGGTCTTATGTAAATAACGTGTTTATTAAATAGTTTAATAAACAACAAAAAAAAAAGACCCATAATCAACTGCTGCCATATGAATAACTTCCTACTCTGGCATTATTCTGGATATTTATTAGAGAACCTGACAGTGTCAGTGTGTGAAAGAGGGTTTTTCCCCCTCCAGTGGATGGACTGAGTATAATATAAATATATAATAATGCACCTTGTCTCAGATAATTGTCCAGATAGCGCTTGCTCTTTAGCAGGTCTATTTTCTAACCCCTCATATCTCTCTTAGTGGTCTTCAAACTGGCAAACACTTAATGCCGAGCTTTCCTAATTACACAGATAACACACGCACTCCAATCCAATAATAGAAGTGTTTTGCAATTTCAGGTTTTAACAATCAATTACTGGCAGTGACTCTCACTGGACTCTGTCAGTCATTAAGTCTTTACACGGACAAGGGAACAATGTTTGATTCATTCCTGTGTTTATGTTGCGTTTTATAAACCACATCTACTGCAGCTCAACTAGACTTTGACAGTGCACTAACAGTAAAATAACTGTTGACCATCTTGTACATTACCACTCAAATCCCAGCAAGTAGATGACAGTATTGGTATGAAGTTGTCTCCTTCCATTCAGGAGGGTTCTTCCCTGCGTGTTTTCAGTCTACCTTTAAAGCTGGAACATGGCAGATATTCCGTATGACCTTGAGAAATTAACATGGGGAGACCGGCTCTGCTCCGAGGGAGCCGATAGAGGCCACGTCCCCTTTCTAATCCCCCTCTGAAAGGCATGCTCCCTCCGCTCAGACAAACATCGCAGCAGGCCAAGTGTTTATGACACAAAACATGTCCTGATGTATCACGGAAAATGTATCATTCAAGTTTGAACCCACGTTTGTGGCAGAAATACAAACCAGAGTTCAGGTGCAATGAAAGTTAATACTTAAAATCTTAACATCATAACAAAAAATATAATTTATAGAGTACTTTATATACATTTATATATTTATATTTACCATCTTTATTTCTTATTACGTTTAACTGGCTCAGAAAGCAAAATTGTTCTTCAAACTCTTACTTGATAAAATCAATATGTGGTGTATTATATGCCAAAAGAAATATTATTTATTTATAAATATACAGTATTATGTTTAAGCACAGGATTAGGTTGCCCAACGAAAACACATTTTTGTCGTATAATAAAATAGTTAGCAGTTAGCTGTAAATATGTGATTTATTTAGTTTTTGTAAAGAATACCAACTTTTCTATAACTGGTATAGCTGTGTTCATGTGTATTTTTTTCCATCTCTACATGGGTGTCAGTGAAGTAGACAGGGGAGACAGAGACGGCACCGGGTTTGGCCAATTGCACCGATGAACAAACAGTAAATTTGAAGTGCGGCGCCCTGTGTGGCTGCCCACAAACTGACCCACATTAGGGCAGTCCTCCATGTAAAACCTGCTCACTTCTCCCACAATCACTTGGCTTTAGCAAACGGGCTGCCGCTCAGCAGGCAGTGGCTCTCAGTGGAAGGCAGGCAGTGAGCTATGGACAGCACAGAGACGTAAACCACAGCTTCTGGTCCTGATGCACTGATGTTTTAGGTGAAAAGAAAAGGAAACAACAGGGGTAAGAACTCGGAGGGGGTCTTGGCCAGGAAAACATTTTGGACTGTGGAGGTAGAGAGGCATAAATACTAAAGTAAAGCTGAGATGTTTGACAGTGCAGCACTTGGGGCGAAAATAATTGTGCTCGACAAAAGTAGGTCCAGAATCTCACGCTGCCGAGCCTTTGCTTGGTATCATTCAAACAGGAGAGTTCAGAACAACACGATGGGTTTGCTGTCGTCGGTCTGTTTCTTTCAAAAGTTAAAGGTAGGAATACACAGATGGGGCCTGGTACTACATTTAAATATTCATACTTTAAAACCCACCAATCCAGTCACCCGATACTGTTACTGCTGATGTTTGTTTGGAGGCATTTTAACATTAAGGACAAAAATGGTGGCAGTAAGATTTGTTCTGTTACATTCTGATCAAAACATCTAAAACACGTCTCTTCTCAGTTCATTCTCAGTGGTGTTAAAGCTCTGCTCACTTTCTGGTCACCAGGCTTTGTTAACTATGCATTAATATACAGTATAAAATGTTATTTAATTTAATTTCATCATAGGCTGGTTTCTTCGTGGACGTTGATTCATTCGACCCCCTGCCGCTGCTGCATGTTTTTTCATTGCATTTTGCAATGTGTAATTTCGAAGAAAGACCTCTGCCCCTAGTGATGGCTGAATGCCAACCCCCTCCATCCTCAGCCAGCTCCTACCAGGTGTCGGGGTCAATGCCGAATGACTTCAAGTCCCGTTTGAGTACATCTTTGTAACAAAGATGAGGGTGCCCAACAGGCGGGAATCCTTGTGCCAGTTCTCTGTGTAGTTAAGGCCTGAGGAATGCTCTCCTCATCCCCCATGAGGAGAACCAGACCGGCCCATCTGAGTCGTCTGATCCGCGGGATGGTGAACATGTCAGCTGAGCCGGTGCGTTCCAAAACAGCTGTGTTGGCAACGAAGAGGAAAAGCATTCAGGTGTTGCTCCTTTGTAGGACACAAAGATTAGGACTGACGGATCGCAGGCTCCGTAATTGTGCCCTCTTAACTTGTTGAGTTGTTGGCTATTGGTCCTGATGAGCAGCTGCCCAACAGTGATAGTTGAATGGTCGTTTTTTTTGTGTTCCATGCTGTTCTGATAATGGTGGAGCTGATGTACAAAAATGTTTCCATGACTGACAGGATGGCAACATATTTGGAATTGGAGTTCATTTTGGACTGACTGTCATCCCTTAAACTCAGAGCATTCCATGCTGTTCTGATAATGGTGGAGCTGATGTACAAAAATGTTTCCATGACTGACAGGATGGCAACATATTT